TTGGAACGTGGTACAGAAGACCAGGTGGAGGCACCGAAGCATTCTTGAGGTTGGAAGCCTGGGACAATTCGGCACCATCCATTCTTGAGGTCTTCCAGAGGAACCACGTCTTTCTGAGCTGAGGGAGGTGAGGACAGCAACAAATTATGAGGTTGGAAACCTGCAGGAGATCCGAGTAAAAGCGTTACTTGAAGGAGAAGACCAGTAGTAGCAGTTCTGGAGGCCTGTGGTAGGAGGAACACCATACATAGACCTGTGCCTGGACCAGCACTGTCTCAACGCCGCTGCGCTCAGGCCCAGGAGATTACTCAAAACCTCACCACGAAATGGGAGAAGGTGTTTCCACAGTCGGACACCCCAAGCCGCGGAGAACTGCGAGAACTCTGGATCCAACTCACCAAGATTCCTTCTCAGAAGCGTGCTTCCCTACTATCGCCACAGTGACACCAAGCGGTGCCAGCGGCTCCGTGGCTGAGGGAAAGAGGTGTGACGGCCTACGACCGGTGTCAGTGGATGTTGGAAACCATCCACCATCTTTGGTGGGCATGACCCAAGTCGAGGAAATGGTGGGATTGATGGTTCGCCGACTGGAAGTTTGTGGTCCGGAAGAGCAGTTCTGATGCACTGGGCGAGCAATGGGCAGAAGGTACTTCTGCGAGCAAGGGATGAGGCTATGTGTCCCAGGTTTGCTATGTGTCCCAGGTAATGCTCTGGGTCATTTGGGCAGACGGGAACGACCTGAGATTCAAAGGGCAGGGGTTGCCAGAGGCTCAGGCAGAGAAGCTTTTAGGAGACTCCTGCAGCATGAAATCCGCGGGGATTGGAGGCGCAAGGCGGGTAGGGGTAGGAACAGGGCAGGGTTGGCAATGCCTGGCATGGTTCAGGGCCACCTTGGGCCAGTTTGAGAATGAAACAGTCGTTCAGGTACTAACCGGGGATCGTAGATTAGTGTTCTCCAAGTGGTGGGATAGGTAGTTGGAGGGGAGGGTGCTTAGTAGCAGGAAGCAGGGCACTCGATTCCAGTTAGAGCCACAGTAGGCTACAAAGGGGTGGAGGGTGGAGAGTGCCACGTCTGAGAGGAACTTGGGTTCCAACCGACCGGGCAGGTTGGTTTCAGACCGTAACAGGTCTGTGAAGGATGGATGGTAGGGGATTAATGAAGGCGCTAGCTGGAATTTAGCCTAGGACAGGGTTTAGCAGGACTTCAGTCGAGGATAGTGGGATAGGCCCGAAAACAGAAGGGTACAAGATTCATTCCCCATAAGCTAAGCTAAGAAATTCTCTCAGTACTCCAGGTTGAATTGTGAGGTCCCCGACCTCGATCTATGTGTTTGCAATATACAAAATGTCGTGTTTTTGCAAACAAAAAAACAAGAAAAAGACTTGACTGCATAATACATAAGCCTTGAAGTAGACAAGATACATGTCGGACCGGGAATAACAAGAATACTGTTACATACTTCAATGAGTATGGGCCGAACCAAAGATCAACCAATATAGGATGAGCATTTATGCAGCGGAAGTCTGATAACGAACTGACTCACATAGACTGACTCACATAGCATCACTCCACACACATACAATCGTGAGATGGTGGGGTCTGAGCCATWCMAAGAAGGTGCTYAGCCCCGTACACAACATACACAGATGAATGGGGGAGGAGAGACGAAGGAGGTGGGGTAGGTAGACAGCACTGAAAGTCACCGAGATAGAATCTGATAGGTCTCCGATATGGTAGTCCAAAATGTCATCCAACAAGATCAAAATGTCGAGGACGATAGGTCACCAATGTCGGAGGTACAGAGTCCAAACGTAACCGGTGTCCGAACTGTGATGCAGCCGAGTATCAGCCCCAACAATCTCCAAGTCTCCAATCAGGTAAGTACCACAGTCTCATATCACCGAAGTCCAACTCTGATCTCTGTCCAACTGGATAGTCTCCAATCTGAAGAAGAAGAAGAAGAAGAAGAAGAAGAAGAAGAAGAAGAAGAAGGGGAAGGAGAAGAAGAGGAGAGAGAGAGAGAGAGAGGGGACTGGCGAGGGAGAGGAGGAGAGATCCTCCAAGCTCCCAGTACCTCAGGCGGCAATGGCCGCCGTGCTGGTTC